GATGCTTCATCCGAGCAGTGCTTTCCCAAGTAAACACATTACAGGGCTTCTTGTGACATTTTTGGAGGATGCAGTGTTGTGTCCCCTCTCGATCATTGGTTAGTGAGGATCAGGAGATGAGAGTTTGAAAGTCTGTTTAATTTTCAGGACAAAGTTTAGAGAAACAACCAATTTCCTCCCTGAGGTCAGTGTTATAAACCAGCTCGTCATAAAGGAATACCTGAGTTGAATAAACAGTCAATCCAGCCATTTGCTTTGAGGTAGTGTGGTCTCAATCCTGGCTACAAATTATGGATTTTCTAACATGTGATGCACTTGTCTATTTGAGACACCTAGATACTATTACAACCTGTGTTGAGAATATCAAATTTAATTATATATGACCCATTTGCCCATATCAAAAATTACCATTCTGGAAAAATGATCAGGTGAACAATTTCTATACAATAGAACTCAGACTCTGGAGCTCATAGATTTTGCTTTGACATATTGTCACTAAATTCATGACCACATGATTCAAATAAACTCCTTCCTACTATTTTTCTGTGTGATGAATCTTAGCAAGATGGTCGTTTTTATGATACAAACTAATACCAATATAGTGCAACATTTTCTACCAAAGCACTTAGAATTGATGCTTGGACTTTTACTCATGATTGCAAGCAATGAAATACTGTTCTGGGTTGTAGAATGTCTCACATTTTCCCAACACATCTCTTGGAAAATTCTTATGGATTAGACAGTTTCATTATTCTAAAATTTTACTCTGGCTTTTTATTGGATCTTATTTAATATGTAAACACAGAAGCTATTAGTAAGTAAGCCCAATAGTTGAAGGAGTTTGACCCTCAGTTGCCTCAGGATTTTGATGAGAAGTTTCCAATTACATCACAGGAGAACTAAGAATTTGCTAAGAAAGATAGAATTTTAAACAAAATCGCATCAGCAAAATGCTGTTCAATGTTTTGCCTGTCTACAGGTTGGGTTCAAATGGTTTTAAATGCAAATAGTAATTCTTTTGTGAAGGAAGATTTCAGAAATTCTGGTTTAAACCTAGAATGGCCACCCGTACACTGGTCTGAACTTTCTCTCACTGGTTTTCACATCCTGTTTTACCAACGAAGCTTCCTAAAAATTCTTCTTGTAACTTTCCAAATTGCTTTGAATCTTTCCCACACCCTCCCTTTCTTACTCTCTGACTCTTTAGCAACAAATACTTTTCACTGCCTGTAAGGGGAAGAATTTCCTCTCTGTGTGGGTTTCTGGGTCCTTCCTCTATCAGCTCCAATACCTCACCTTCGGCGATGCCACTCTATATTGCTCTAAAAGCTCATCATATACTTCTGTTATGGAAACAAGAAAGTAAGGCAGAGTGTTATGAACTCTTTCTTTAGCACTTTTTATCAGATTTTACATGGGCTTTGACCCTCTGAAGCATGAATATATCTTAATCCCACCTACTGATAATGCTCCTTGGGGCTCCCTTTTATAGAAATTCTTCATCTCCGATACATATCATTCATTTTTAAACATCCCTGTAGATGATTTACAAACAGAGAATCCTTGAAAAGACAGGTATCTAAAGCTAAAGTCTGACCTTGGCGATCAGGAGGTCAATAGACATTATTATCCCAGTTTCACAACTATTTGATATACACAGTTGTCAGCTGTGGCTTTCGGTAAAGTTTTCTAGATTGCAGATTTCCATGATCACCATACTTGAAATACCTGCAAATTAGGTTCTCAATGATATTTGCACATTTTGCCTTGACATCAGATATCTTAATGTAACTGATTTGGGGACTCAAGAAAGTTGTTTTTTTTTTTTAAGTTAATCTTTTTCCTCCTTGCAATCTTTAGTATGTGAGGCACATCTTTCCTGAAGAGCATCCAACATTCCTCACATTGATCTTTCCTTTCAATCCTGTCCAGCTCCTCAGGGAAGTCACGTGAGTCTCTCACTGTGCCCTGGTTCCAGCCCTTCTGGAACGGGCTGTTGGTGAGAAATTAAATGTTCTTCCCTTTCCCCATGCCCTTGAGAGGAGAGCATGCCTTTGCCAGCCAGCTGACAGACTTTCCTCATGGAAGTCAGAAAGTTCATTTGCCCTCAGAAGACTCCGTCCCTTCCAGTTAACCTTCATGGAATTTATTTCTGCCTGACTTGGATATCAGATAAAGCCCATGACTCCTTTTAGTTTCAGTGGCGTGGAAATGAGATTGGTGCATGCTCAGAATGACAGTTTTTCTTGTGGAATTTCTTCTACGTATATTGAGGGACAACTCATTTCTATAGGTACATTGGTAAATTTGGGGAACACAAAAATTCCACTATGATGTGAAATAGCAGTCTTACTGATTCATCAGATTAAGCCAGAATATTTAAAAGTAAACTACCTGGATGATATAACTGAAAATTTTAAATGAGGTGCTTTGCTTTTCTGTCTAATATCCAGTTTATACCCCAAAACTCATTTAAAGTAAATTTCATGTTTCCTATATAATCTGTATTTTACTTTGTTTCTATTTCTTTTATTATTATTATTATTATTCTTTCATTATCTTTAAGTAGTTGTACAAAGGTATTGCTCTTTAACAAAGCAGGTCATGAATATAATATACCTTTTTTCTTTTAAATGTAATTTTTATACTTATTATAAAGATGATGTTCAAAGAGGTTGCAGTTATATAAGTCAGGCAAACAGTACATTTCTTTTTGGACAATGTCACTCCTTCCCTATGTCTCTCCCAGTGTTTCCCACCCATCCCCATTCACAAGTTGTATAGGTCATTTTCAACATAGCATCTAGTGAGTACCACTCCTTCATTTGTGATCCTTAGACCTCAGACACCTGAGTAGCTGGGATTACAAGCATGAGCCATTGGCTCCAGGCTGATATTATACTTTTGACTATTAAAAATGTCATTAAGAGAAATGGGAGGGACAAAGGGTGACTAACTGTAGCCTGTATTTTAGATCAAAAATTTTAAATCTGCTCTATTAATGAAGTGAAATTCCCTTGATGCAATAATAAAAAACGCATGTGGAAGTGCATGTGTTATTAATATTTATTTTGAGGAAAAGACTGTTACTTCCTTACATATGATTATCTTATAAAATGGGATACAAATTGGCACATTGTTTTAAACTATAAAATCTAGATTCACATAAATATAATTCAGAGATTTCTTTGCACCTACTTAAACCAGAGTCAAATTTCTAACAAATCCCATTGTATTGGTTCTTAGATTAGAAAGCTTGGAGAATTGCATAGTGGATTTCTAACTTCTAGTACATGGTAGACTGAGTGACTTTTTGTAGTTTTAAGGAAGATTTTGTTTTTCTGTGAACTGTGAATTCCTTAAAAAGTATCAATATGCCACTCAAAATCTGAATGGACCCCTGTTAATTTTATGTATTGTTGGAGACAATAAACTTTATAAACTATGTTATACATTCAGGCTACTAAACAAACCAACTAGGAGTTGAAGTGGGAGGATTTCACAGAGCAAACTTGGTTACCTAGCGAATACGACTGAAAGCAATAACCAAATAAATAGCATAAATATGTGGAGGCTTGGAACATCACCAAACCCAAGTCACTTAAATTTCAGCCACAACAGCAGTCAGCTGCTCGCTGAACAATTTTATTATGAGGTGTTGGTGATTTAACAAGTTGGCCAACAGTAATTGGAATGGAGCATGAAAATATTTCATCTCTGTTGAATTTTACTGGTGTGTACTGGACTCCTGACAGAAGAACATCTAAAGAGAATGAAGTAATCAATTTGCTATACTATTTTCAACATTCCTTTCTGTGGTTTTTTATATGATTCATTCTAGAAAGAAATGGCTTAAAACACCAGTAGGGTGCTTTGTTGTTGTTGCTGTTTTTCTTCTTTATTTTGGTTTTTCTGCAACATGCTTAGATTCCTGGTCTGAATTTTTTAAAAAAAAAAACAGTTTTAGATTTGTTGAAGAATGTCAATATATCCTTAGTGTGAAAATTGATATTAGACAATAAAATCAGTTTGTGTGTGTATTGTGTATATAGATGAATGGATATGGTGTGTGTGTATATATATATATATATATATATGAGATGATAGATAGATAGATAGATAGATAGATAGATAGATAGATAGATAGATAGATGTGGTAAGTATGACACTCAGTAATAAATATCTGTCAAGACAGAAGAACTGTGGGATGGTTGGGTTTGCAGAGGACCTGAGGTAGCTTCTGTACATGTAGCCACTGGCTGAGTACTTTTGAACAATTATTCACCTGCTTAGTGAATTCAATATCTTAATACTTGATCATGTACTTTTAGACATTCTTAAATGTAGATGGGTGTATTTTTAAGGTAAGCTCTTCATGTGTAAGGTTAACAAATACTCAGCATTTGCTAGAGAACTAAAAGATACAAATGTAAGCCAGAATACAGTTGCACATAACCAGAAAGATACGAATTCCACTTAATCAAGTCAAAGACACTCAAAAATCATCTAGTCAATGTTTACAGTTTGCCTGTCATTCGGTTGAATACAGATGTCTCCACAGTGGGTGGTGAGAGGTATACTTTGCTCTCTTGAAGCATATGGTTGATGAGAGAAGACAGAAAATTAGACAATCAAAAGAGAATGTGGCAAGGGCTATGACAATCCCTTAGTTGCCTCATAAGTTCCGGATAGTAAATAGAGCTTTGTTTCTATGTGTCAGGGAGCATATATGAATGCAGATGAATTATGGGATTATCCACTTCTCAGTTGAAGTCTTCAGATTTTATCCAAATGTCCATGCCAAACAACTGCTCCACTAACTGTGGAGCTTTTATATCCTTGGGGTCCAGTCTGTCTTCCTGAAAGGCCAGTTAAAATGACCCCATCTAGGTTTGGTGAGGGAAAATCTAATGCAAGTGGCTACATCATTGTAGGGAGTAAATAGAAAAGCAAACTCCTTGCACTCTCTTATTTGAATTTCCTTTGTTCTTTCCCCTTAGGACATCTACTTGGCCTTTCCCATGACGACTCTAAATTCTGTGAAGAGAACTTTGGTTCCACGGAAGATAAGCGCTTAATGTCTTCCATCCTAACCAGCATTGATGCATCCAAACCCTGGTCCAAATGCACCTCAGCCACTATCACAGAATTTCTGGATGATGGCCATGGTATGTACCATTGAGAGGGAAACGTACTCGCATTCTTAGGAGCTTTGTTCTGTTACATCTTCATCCTGGTCTTCCTGCCCTCTAGGACAATGCTGTGCAGACAGTGCCAGAGACACAGCAAGGAAATTGATTTTCTGTTGGTGTGTGATGCCGGCATTTTTGGTGGCATGATAGCTATGGTATTTTTGCTTTGGAATTGAAAAGTTCAAAGGAGGAACAGTGTGGGAGACCACACAGCATGTTTAGCAGCGGGTGCCCTGAAAGCCTGGCTTTTATTCCTTCTTTCACCACAGGCTTCCTGTCAGAACTTTTGGCAGACATCTTGGTTTGTCTGCTCTTAGTGTGATTCTCAGCGTTACTTGTTACATGCATATAATAGCAGTGTGGTTAAGGTGTAGGTGATAACTCACTGGTTTGTTTTTTTGGTATCATAAAACCAGGAAAGGAAGTGTTCTAAGTTTTTATTGACTGGGAGAATTTGATTTCATCTTGCCAGCACTTCAGAACAAAAACTGAGGAGCAATTTGAATGAAGGGAATTTAAGAGGATCAAAAGGAAATCTTTGATAGTCTCCTTAAAAGACAGTCGAAGAGTGTAATACACTTTATTAACTCTGTTAAGACTAGGATTTGTGCTGTAAGCTATATAAAAATATAGAAGAAGTTGAACTTTCTAGAAATAATAAATCCTGGCCACTAAGTAGTCTTCAAAACAAGCTGTCATAAATTTTCTAGTATCCTTTATTATTTCAAAATAATAGAAACACAGGAGGTCAGACATGTTAGAATTAGAAGAAAGCTTATTAGCGCTGACTTCTCATTATTTAGGAAAGAACATATACCTTTGTTACTCTTTTCACTGTTAAAATTGGACTCTTTCTATATCTAGAATTTAAATTGTATGAAAAAGAAATTATTGATGATATTAATTTTCCATATAATTGTTTTATGATCTGTGGCTCCAAATAAAATAACAAGTCTGTGGTAAATTTACCCTAGTTGTACACAGTGTATGATTTAATATTTTGACAAATTTATGAGACCATATCTAAAATTTCATTCTACTCTCATGAAGTTACATGCACTTGTACTGACAGCTTGTTTTTTTCTTTTTGAATATCTTTTAGTTTTCCTATTCTCTATGCTAATTTTCTAAGCCAATAATAGCTTTAAATAATAAACCTCCTATGGGGTTGGGGAAAACTTCAAATGGGTAAATTGAGGCAAGAATAAAATGTAGCCCTACAATGTAAGATGAATAGTGGTGTGATCTCATTTTCTACAAGGTCAAAAGCCCCAAACCTATCCCATTAATATTTAGGCCTAAAGGTACCTGAATATTACATACTGATACATTAATCCATACACACAAAGAAGATTTCTAGTCATTTACAAAAATTCAATGGAAACACTAATGTAAAGGCAGCAAAGCAATGGCAATTTTTAAGCAGACATTCTTTTTTTTTTTTTTGTCTTTTCTTTTTTGGTACTGGGGATCGAACCCAGGACGTTGCAATTGCTAGGCAAGTGCTTTTAAGCAGACATTCTTATAGAATCTCTACAACTTCCTAATGGCACTTGATGAGTGCATTGTCTGAAAAGTCATTCCTGTGTATCTTATTCTCCCTCTTCCTCTTTAAGTAGAAGTAAGACAGTAAATTCAAGGTCAAAGCATTGGATTTAGTTTAAAATTGATCAGCCAGAAGTAGGTGGTCTCTCCAGCACCTTGTCATGGCCAGATTTACATCCACTAGTACTGAGTGTTTCCTGATTGAGATTTCAGCAGAAATGCAACATAGATAGGCAATTTACGGCTGAAGAGCAAATGTGCACGCTTCCATGTAACAGTATCTGGAGATTTGGGATTCAGAGAAATGTCAGCCATGTCTCATGGGACTCCTCTGCCCCTCGGCCAAGATACTTGTAGAAATTCTGCAGTGTTTATATAAGTGAGCTGTAGGCAAGGTGGCTAGAAGTATGATCCTCTAAAACAAGGGCAAGCATTGGCAAAGAAATTGTGCAGTAAAAGCAGCTTATTGAATTTCCTTTCTCAAATGCTTGGTAACCTTGAGTCCTGTGTTTGCTACATCTTTTAGTCCACACTGCAAACTGAGGAAAAAGGCCAACCCCTTCATCGACACAGCTCACGAACATTCACAACAGTTTTAAATATTAACATGTAGCTTATTTTAAAAGCCACCGGCTGAACATAGAACTTGGAGAAAACCGGGTCTCTGAATCTTTAATTGCCAGCTACTTAAAGTAACAATAAGAGTGAAACATCCAGTCTTTCTCTTTGTGTTTTGATTTTTCACAACAAATATGCTGTTTGGAAGAATGGAAATGAGATACTTTGTGGCTATAGTGGCTTATACTTTTTTAAAATTTTAAATATATATTTTTTATTGTAAAGATACTGTACAGAGGGGTTACAGTTACCTGAGCAAGGTAATGAGTCCATTTCCTATCCAGCATTGTTACCCCCTCTTTTGTTTTTCCCCTACCATCCCTTTCCTCCTCACCTCCCCAACTCCTCCACCCCTGCAAACTTGTAAAGTTCGTTTTCAACATAGTGTCTTGTACATCTCAGTGTTACAATGGGTCATCCTGTATCCTTATTTCAGTATTTTGTTATTTCCCTTCCCCTCCCTAAATTAAAAAAAATGTATATACAAGATTCAGGTCACCAGAATCAAATACAGTGAAAACAGGGGTTGTACCATACAAAGAGACAAAAAAAACCCACATAGTACATTAAAAGTATATTAAAAAGACCAACAAGAAAGATAAAAATCTCTTATGTCCCTATCTCGGGGTTAATTTCGCTTAGCATCAGGTTATATGGTCATATGTACATAGCTTTTGACCTCTTCTGGTTGTCCTAGACATACACTAGTATGAAAACCTTGCTTCATCTTAAATCATGCAGAAGTCATCTTATTTCCTGGCCATTGCCTCTGCTGAGCAGTGACTCTAGTCTCCAATATTTTCACAAACAAACTCCTAGGCTTGCTCTGGCTAACACCCTTTTCCCCTTTGTCAACGGCCTTTCTTTGTTATCATGAGGCAAAATGGTTCATCAAAGAGTAGGAAGATATTCCTGTTTCTCAGTGTTTTATTTTTCTAAACAAAGTCTTAAATGAGAGCGGTAGATTGGGGGAGATGAAGACAGAAAGCAAAAATGGAACCTATCCAGTGCTGTTATAGGCCCTGGGGTATTTTTCTGCAGGAACATTAATTGATTTCTTCTAGGCCATGAATATTTGGATCAATGCTTAATTGTATGCCTTAATAGTAAAAAGGAGAATAAGGCTAAAATAACTACAATACTAGAAATAGGAAGGAACAAAGTAAAATTAAATTTAAAATTAAAAAAGACAACCTCTTTAATCCTATCATTTCTACTTCATGTCAAAGATAATTCTAAAAGTCAAAGGTATAAAAACAGGGTTTTTCTATTCTGTTGTGTTTCCTGGAGACAGGAAGGCATCCTCTTCATCCCCTACTGTAAACTTAATCAATGGTGAAGGAATGACCAACTCATCCCTTTATTATCTCTCTCAAATCACTTGTGCTGAACTTCTTAAACTTGTTTGCCTTGTTGGAAATATTTAATGTACTGTGGAGGGCAAGAGTAGATATGCAATCTGTACACATTTCTGTTGACTTGCTTGTAAACTATCTATTTATATACACATGTAAGAGAAAGGAAGGAAAGGAGAAGGGAAGGAAAGGGAAGACGATACAACAAGGCAATTTGTGGGACTGAATGGAAACAGTAAAATTTGGTAACAAAGCCACAAGAGAATATCAGACTAAAGTTTACTTCATGTTTTTGTTTTCTTGGTTTGGAGGCCCAGAAAGGCCTCCAGTTTGTGATCTTGCTTCTGACTCCTGTTGAGGTTACACGCATGCACCACCACCACACCCATCTGAACTAATTTTATTTTCAGTAAGGAAGGGTTAACTTTGTATGCCTTCTTTAAGAAAAATCAGTTTCCCACATAATTTTAATAGCAAAGCAAATGTATTACTTATTTTTTTAAGTTATAGTGGATTAGCCTTTGTAAAAAGATGCTTTTATGTTTAATGTTTATGTTTTAATGTCTAATGTTTTCCTATAGGCAGATTCACATTGTGTTCTGCATTTCCTTTCACTCTTCATGCACTAGAGAAGGAAAGAGGATGTCAATGATTCTCAGTGATCCATATTGAAGTAGGGACTTCTTTTGGGTCAAAATAAGTAAAATATACCTGTACCATAGGCAGGCACAAATGGCAAATTCCAGCCGATGGTCAGTAATTAAGGCCTATGATCAGTGCTTTTAGTATTTAAAAAAATCTCTTCAACAGCACTTTTGAAGAATTGGAAAGCATTCTTGCTGATTCAGAGATATGTTGACAGTCTTCAACGTCAGCAGTTTGTTAGCCCTCCCTCGTATATACAAAGCTGCTTTTTATAGACAAATGAAGATAAGGATTCCTCCCCCTTCCTGATGGCTTCTAAAATGCCTGATTTTCTTCCGTCTTGTAAACAGAGCTTAGTGAGAGTTTTTACTATCATTCTTTCCTATTGAGTTGATGTGAATGTTTTGCCTTATAACTCAGGGTTTTTTTCCCCAAGTTCTCTTTGGCGGGCTATTTCTTTTTAATGCTTTTTCTGGCATGTCTTAAGAAGCTTTACCTATTCAAATGTTCTGGCTCTGATGTGAAATGGGAGCTTTGCTCCTTATTCATTTCCATACAATGCCTCCATCACAGATGCACACATTGGTGTAAGGAAAAACCTTGAATGTAGTTATGAAAACATTGCCAGTAAACTTAAAATGTGCTGAAAAATCTGTTTCTTGGTGGCAAGTGAGGATTTTCAGGTCAAATGGTTTTCTTCTATTAAAAAAAGAATGGCTGGAATATATGTAAGAGGTTGTTAAATGTATGGAAACACAACTCACTTGTTTTTCTTTTAAAAAATATTTTTCCGGTTTCCCTTTGAGAGTGTGTTAGTTAATTCTACCTTTATGCTATCATAGGGGCAAAAGAAAATACTACATAGATCTTGAAAATAAATTAAGGGGAGATTGATGAACTTGGCCAGGCACATGTAGCAGGTTAGTGTTTTACCAGGACTCGACTTCAGGCCAGATGTTTCTAGCCTTAAATATGATATCTGCCCTAAAGGGATCTTTACAAATTTTGGCCTTTGGCAAGAAAATAAGTCAGCTAGCCACATGTCAAACAGAGGCAGCATGTAGCCATGAAGAGGCATGGCTCTGAGCACAAAACCACAAAACTATGTGACCGGGGTAAGTGCCCTATCTTTTATATTATCCAGTCTCCTTATTTTAAGCTAAATAAAATCAAAGGGTCTACATCATAGGGTTCCTAGGCACATGAGGTATCTAGGGATTGGAGATATGACTCATTTGGTAGAGTGCTAGCCAATGAGTGAAAGTGGATGCAGGCACTGAGTTCCAGTCCTAGTCTCAGACCTAGAAAAAGAAAAGTAATAATCTAATAAACATAAAGAACTGAGAATTGTCATCATCATTATCTTTTTCTTCCTCCCCCCCTCCTCCTTCTCCTTCTTCTTTTTCTCCTCTTCCTTCTCTTCCTTCTTGCTATTATATTCTTATTGCTATTCTACTTCATGCTAATATTCTTATTGATATTATAATCAGTGAATACACCTAAATAATCAACAAAATAGAGACAATGATGGACAATTATCATGCATGAGCATTTGAGTAGAAAAAAATATGGCGTCATCTCACTAGACAGAGATTCTTTTTTTAACTGATTATCATCATCATCATCATCAAACTGTACAAAACAGTTACAATCGATAGGTCAATTAATGAGTACAATGCTTTTTGGACAATGTCACTCCTTCCTTTATTTTCCCCCACTTTCCCCTCCCCTGGGCTGGGATTCTTTGGCAATCATTTTGGAAGAAGAGAAGCACAAGTAAGTTTCTGATTTTATGTCATCTCTGTCCCAGCTTCTGAGGACTTTGTGTGTCATTCATACTTGTTCTGATCCTGTTTCTTACCCCCACATACAATGAATCAAGACACCAACTTGGTTTTGGTGGACATGCTGTAAATTTCAACAAATATTTACTCTATGAAAAAACACATTCAAAGGCAAGAATAAAAAGAGAAGCATATAAAGATGGGCCAAATTATTATTCTCTCACAATCCTTTCTCTTTTGTGGATATTGAAAGCTAGATTAAAATTTCTATCAGTCTTGGAGAAATACTTTGTTTACTCTATCTGCTTTACTTTAGTGGACGACCTGTTGAAGTGGTTCTGGGTCAAACCTAGAAGGTCTCTAGAACCACCTAGATACTAAGCAAATGCTTAGTGTGCTCAGATGCTCGAGATACCACTTTGAGGATTATCTTGGATCCAGTGGAAAGGAAACGGGTGAGAGGCAGACACATTCAAAATGGAGAATGAGATGCAAATAGGATGCCTTAGATTACTCTTTCTCAAACTTGTATGGAATAGTTATTATCTAATTAACTTTCAGACTTGTAGGTCCATGATTTTGGTGTCTCAGCTCAATGGTTATTTTCCACTTTCATTTCTTTTCCAGTACTAGGAATTAAACTTGGGACCTCAGACTCTTGGCTGGCATTCTTATCTCTAGAGCCATGTCTCCATCCCACTTTTTGCCAGTTGTTTTTTTAAATGAATTCTTGCAGCTTTTCTCATCTCCCTGGCTTTGAACTATGATCCCCTGGATCTGGGGATTTCTGAGCAGCTAGAATTAAAAGTAGAAGCCACCTGCACTGAGCCCAATGGTTACTTTCACAAGTACTTATAAAATTGTTGCATGTATTCATACTGCTACTAGCCTGTTTCCATCTCCAGGTACTCTCAAGAACATCTCCCAGGGAAGATGCTGGATTCCAACCAAGGGCCTAATGCTACCCTTCACACCTCCCTGTTCCAAGACATTAAACTGCAGATTTATGTGTACATCAATGTCCATACCACATGCACTGTTTCATTTTAAGATCTCCTACCTTAGTGATTTGAAATCTCAACCCAGAATAGCGATCGTTGTGGGTTGTTCTGTTCTTCTAGGTAACTGCCTACTGGATCTACCACGGAAGCAGATCTTGGGCCCTGAAGAGCTCCCGGGACAGACCTACGATGCCACTCAGCAGTGCAACCTGACATTTGGGCCCGAGTACTCGGTGTGTCCTGGCATGGACGTTTGTGCCCGGCTGTGGTGCGCTGTGGTACGCCAGGGCCAGATGGTATGTCTAACCAAGAAGCTACCGGCCGTGGAAGGGACGCCCTGTGGCAAGGGGAGAATCTGCCTGCAGGGCAAGTGTGTAGACAAGACAAAGAAGAAATATTACTCAGTAAGTCGTTTTCTTGTCTTTCAAAGGCTGGGAACCCAACAGGGGAAACAAGTTCCCGGGACATATATGGGAATTGCCGTCCAAGGGCTTTATTTCCTAATTCAAGTACTTTTCCCCTAGGAATCTTGTTACAATATCATAGTTTGTCTGCTGTAACCACTATTAGTAACCCAGCGCTGGAGAACAGGGAGATAATAGGGATTTCTTCACAAATTATAAGAATAAATATAAGCCAGAGGCCATCTGATAGAGGTCCCCCTCCCCCCCAAAAAGAGCTCCAGATGGAAACACATTTTTAAATCCCCTCTTGTAAAAACTATTGGAACATATTCATTTTAACTCAGTAAGGAAATGGTAACAAAGCTGACTGCATAATTCTTACACAGATTTGGTCCAGTGTGGTTGCTTTTTATTCCCATAGCAACTCATATAAGCAGTGGAGCTATAGAAGCTATGTGATGTTAAACACACAGTCCAGCATCTGGTTCGCACCTGCTGCCTTAATCTCCGAAGCTAAATCAAAGTATATATTCATTCTCATTTGCAAGACTGGCAGTGTCCCCAGGAGACTGATGCCCTGTGTTATATCTTTGGTCCATCGGGTCATCCAGCATGGGACATCAGATAGAGTTCTGAATCAGTTCCAGGCAAAATGGCGTGCAATATTGTGCTTTCTGGAGTCTCCTGCAAAATTTCAAGAGGAATAGACATCAGGTGTCATGAGAGCATTACTCCTTTCCCGTGTGGGTGGGGTGTGCAGCTTGGCTGAAGGTCCCTTTTAGTATGTGGAACAGTTAATGAATTTAGTCAAACCTAGCTCAAATGCACTTAGGTATGGAGTAGAGTCTGCAACAGAGAGGATGCAATGTCAACAAAAGAACCAGAGAATTTTAAGACTAACGGAGAAAGAGATACAAGTACAACCCTGCAATATCTGGCATCACACAAAATCATCAGTATTAGACTCTTCTTTACATATCCAGGATCAGAGTACACAGAAAGTCAACACAGTTCAGTGACGTCGAACAGGGTTTTATAACATTCAGAGACAGAAGTTGAAACAGCATAGAGAAAATGGAAGGCAATCATTGTTGTGCGCTCAGTATCAAGGAGCCACTTCAGATCTTTTACAGTAGGGAAGAGGTGAATTACCCGGGATTGGAAATGCTCTGGTGTGGAAAACATTAACGCTGTTATAAAATTTCCACTGTGTCATTGTATGTAACTGATTCACAAAGGTACATTGTGAATGATTCCCTCTTCTCTGATTTTAAAATATCTTCTCTGTTCTGTTTCAGACATCAAGCCATGGTAACTGGGGATCCTGGGGCCCCTGGGGCCAGTGTTCACGCTCTTGTGGAGGAGGAGTACAGTTTGCTTATCGCCACTGCAACAACCCTGCACCCAGAAACAGTGGCCGCTACTGCACAGGGAAGAGAGCCATCTACCGCTCCTGCAGCGTCGTGCCCTGCCCACCCAATGGTACGCTGCTCCTCTCCCTTACAATGTCTAGGTCTGTTTTGTGTTTACTTTTTGGTTTTGTCAGTCTTGAGGCTTAAACTCAGTGCCTAGGCACTGTCTCTGAGCTCTTTTGCTCAACTCTAGTGCTTTGCCACTTTAAGCCACAGCTCTACTTCTGCTTTTCTGATGGTTAATTGGAGATAAGAACCTCACAGATTTTCTTATATGAGCTGGCTTTGAACCAGGGTCCTCAGATCTCAGCCTCCTGAGTAGCAAGAATTATAGGTGTGAGCCACCAACATGCATCTAAAATGTCTCCTTATATATAATGTTTTTATTCTAACAGAAATCATTAGAAGCTGGAGAGATCAAATTAAGTTTACATTGTCCACTTGCACTATGCAGACAATCTTTAAATCATCATTATTACTGAAAACAGTGTATTTGGAAAACTGAGACTAAAATAATTATTTTTTAATATTTTCTTTTTCTTATTATCTTTAAGGAGTTGACGTTTAACAAAGCAGTTTATGAATACAGTGTATCTTGATTAATGTCATGCCTTAGGACATTCTTACCCAACCTTCCTCTACACATCCTTGCCCTCATTTCTCTTAAAGTGTAATATATACAATAGATGTTTTGTCTTATTTCCCCCTCTTCTCCTCTTCATTAATTTACTCCTTTCCCTTTGACTCTACCTCACCGTTCTGCAAGTACCCACTTTGTGGTGTTTTATTTTGCTGAGCTTTGATGTGGCCTTTCTATTGTCAACTCTATCTAGTTGTAATTGTTCTATCTTGGTGCCAAAGAAGCTCTGTATAACAAATAATGTTCACATCATTTCTTCCTATCAATTACATAAATGTGCAAGAATACAGCTGAGTGTCAGAGCAGATAAAGGATGAATGCCGATGTACTTTGTTTCCTAGGTAAATCTTTTCGCCTTGAGCAGTGTGAAGCTAAAAATGGCTATCAGTCTGATGCAAAGGGAGTCAAAACGTTTGTGGAATGGGTTCCCAAATACGCAGGCGTGCTGCCAGCTGATGTGTGCAAACTGACCTGCAGAGCCAGGGGCACTGGCTATTACGTGGTCTTCTCGCCCAAGGTGAGTCCACACCGACTGGAGGAGTGATCGGCTTCCGCGGTGGAAATGATTTGGAAAAAATGTAACCAGCACATACCAAACATAAATGTCATTATTTAGGGGGTGGTTAGATTTTGGAGAGGTTTTGTTTCTATCTCTATAGTTTCTGTATTTTTCAAGCTTTATACAGTGAATAAAGACCATTTTTACACAGATTCAAGTAAATGTTTTAAAAGCTATCCTTTGCACACTGTTAGTTACTCTCAAAGAAGTTGAAGAGTGACCCTAACTTCAAAATAACTGTAGAAACATCTAGCATTTCTTAGGCACATGTCTAAAGGGAGCTTAGAAAGCCAACCCTTTCTACTTTTCTAACATTTTCCTTAAGGATTCCTTTGCTGAGTTATGAAAATAGCTCTCAAGATCACTCTGTCTGATCCACGGTGTTGAATAGTTCTGAAGTCTTTAATATAAATTCGTGTTCTTCTAGATGTACACATTATGTGTGTATAGCTGCTCCTTGTTTTTTTCACAGATAAGCATTTTCTAAAAATACTAAAGTTGATTTTTCTAGCTTTCAGTCTTAGGCAGTAGATTTTTTTCAAACACGATGTAATTTGTTAGTAGGTGCTATGTCTAAAAGACTTCTGAAATTTATATGTGTATACACATAGACATATAATTGGAAAAGAAACCAATACTCCACTTACATAACATTTAAGACACATCTTTCTGATATGAAATAACACATTTTAATTTTGAATATAAAAAGCAAAAACATCAGTTGGACACACCACCAGATAGAAAAGTGCTACATGTTGACATATATTCAATTTATAAACACATAGGCAAACTCACATACTGAAAAGACAGACTCTCTCATGTCTGCAATTCAAGCATGCATGTTAATATATATGTATACAGTCATGAACAAAAGCTGCAGTTTATGCACATACTATATTTTACTAGCTTTGTATTTTTAATATTTTATGATCTTTAAGTAGTTGTACAAAGCACTTGTCATTCAACAAAACTGTCTATGAATACACTGCATTTTGATCAATGTCCCCCCGTCAACATTCTTACCTATCCCTCCCAATTGACCCTTTCCCTCACTTTTCTTTAATTTTGTAATACATATATATATATATATATATATATATATATGGCATTCTTAACTGCATTCTTCCCCTCTTCTTTTCTTCATTTATGTACCTCAAACCCCTTGGCCCCAACTTACCTTTCCAAGTGCCTATTTCCTGGTGTTGATTATGTTGAACTGTAATTTTGCCTTCCTAAGGAATTACACTGTTTGAGTTCTCCATAAATCTACCATATTTCAATTAATACATGAATGAATACTGACTTACCACCCAAGGCATTGACTTACATATTTGCCAATCAATTCTAGCTTCTACATATGAGAGAAAACATGCAGCCTTTATCTCTCTGAGCCTGGCTTCTTAACTACACTAATTCCTTTATACAAAACCAGTCTCTTTGAGGACCTAATTTCCTGACTTCCCTGATTCTGTTTTCTGTGGCAATGTGTTTGAGTCTGTTCATTCAACCCACAAGAGAGGAGGCTTTTCAAGTTTTGAATACGTTTAGATTTTTAAATCTGTTACTGTACTAATGCTTATGCAACAAAGAAGAATCATTGTGCTCTTAAGCCTACTTAGACTCCACTCTCTGCAGGAGTAATAGTCCCACACATGGAGTGAAAAGATTGTTTTCATCCACACAAAAAGGCCAGATTATGCTGTGGGAACATGGTTTGCATCTAAAACTTGCATACAAAAAATTGCATACAAAAATTGGATCACCTACCAAATAAAGAATTAAGCTCAAAGGAGAAAGTGCATAATCTAGTTTTCTGCAGATCTTCCTGCCTGCATTTGTCAAGGAGGGTTTGACTAGATACTCTTGGAAAGTAAGAAGTTGGCAATCTTATGGGACGCTTGTTGTTGGGTTGTTGTTCCCTTGAGGTACAATTTATTCCAATCAAAGTAAAAAAAATCACAATTTAGTAATTGTTAGTTTATTAAAAGAACCAACTACCCGATGCCCAGAGGTTGCTCACCACTGAGGTGTTTGTCCTGACTCAGGTGACCGACGGGACCGAATGCCGGCCGTACAGCAATTCGGTGTGTGTCCGAGGAAGGTGTGTGCGAACTGGCTGTGATGGCATCATCGGCTCCAAGCTGCAGTATGACAAGTGTGGAGTGTGCGGAGGAGACAACTCCAGCTGTACCAAGGTTATCGGAACCTTCAATAAAAAAAGGTAATGTGATAAAGCCCTGCCCTTCTGGGAACTGAACAGAGCTCTCGACTCTTGCAGAACTGCTACAGAAAACTCAACTCACCACATCAGCTCTCTGTAGAAGGAGATCGAAAGTGGCTCTGGTAACACTTTATGAATGTAAGAAGGGAGGGAAGGGAGCTGAATAAAACTCAGGCATCTCTAGAAGCAGTTCGGCAAAAGCCATGAGGTCAAGGTGTAACAGAGTCAGAAAAGTATATGTTTGTATTGTGAGAGAAAACATTCCTCTTGGTTGAGTTACGATCGCGTGAGGAACAATTCTATTTTACAGTTTGTAAAGCTGTTCTGCTTAGCCTCTATTCATTTTATAAGAAAGTGCATACAAGATTGTCTTCTGCTTCTTCACTTTAAATTGTATTACTCTAAATGTGTCCATTGTTTCATATTAACATAGGTTCTCTCCTAATATGTTTTTGTTGTTGTGAAAAGAGCACTCCTTTTCATGAGTTATATTTCTTGTGTATACTGGCTCTTTCACTCCAAGAGGCAAAAATACTTCACTCAAGAAATTACAAATCGCAGCTGGGCTTGGTGGCTCACGCCTATAATCCTAACCACTCAGGAGGCTGAGATCTGAGGATCACAGTTCAAAGCCAGCCCAGGCCGGAAAGTCCACAAGACTCTAACCTCCAATTAAAGCACTCAGAAAAAGCCAGAAGTGGCACTGTGGCTCAAGTAGTAGAACACTGACTAGCCTTGAGCACAGACAATCTCAGACAAGGCCCATGCCCTGAGTTTAAGCCCCAAGACTGACAAAAGAAAAGAAAAGAAAAGAAATTACAAATCATAAATACATGCCAAATAACAAGAGATAAAACTTTGGATATAAAGAGAAGAGCATGGACTCTGGAATTCAACTGATAATAGTTTTATGAATCTAGTTCTGTCTATAAGTTTGTGAGAACTTGGGATGTCACATAATTTCTCTTGTTCTTATTCTTTTTATTCATAAAAGAAATAGTATGTTAAATCACATGTTTAATATGTTAATTAAAGAGAAATAAAGAAGACATAGTGAAGATGAATCAATAAGTGATACCCCATCTTTTTAATCTTTATCTAAATGCATGTCAGTTTTCATGGACAGTGACATCCTGAAAGACACTGATATTTATGACAAATACATTATACACAATAAATAGATATAGAAATAGATAATTTGAAGCCAATCATGTAAGTACAATTGTTCAGTTTACATGATTCATTAAAGAAGGATGCAGTCCATTTGCTCTCTCAATCATTGAGAGAGCCTCTTCTTTCTTGACCTAGTCTCATTATTGCTATAGAGACCATTAGAAGTACTTGCAGCAAGAACTACTGTAAAGACAATTCTTCTCAGCTGCTTCAAACTTGGCATTAAAAGTATATCATGGAAAGAAAGGTTGCAGTACAAATGATAGAACTACAAATATTGCCTGACCTCTGGTGTCACCTCCAGCAGATCTCACACACTATGCAGACATTCAAAATGACCAAGCAAAGGAGTTTTCTAGCATAAAATATGATGCCAACATCATGTAGAAGGGCTACAGAATCTGATGAAATGAAGGATCTTTTTTCTTCTTTGCAAAACTTCTCATAGGTTCAGTGTTTTGGCTGAGAGTACCTGCATTCTTGATGTTGGTGCTGTGTTGTCTCTCATATAAAACAAGATCACGAACAGTAGGGCATACCAAAAACTATGAAGCATCATGATAGTGTAAAAATTGTAAATTATGTTTGATGTGGTAAACATCTGGCTAAAAAAATATTCTTAATATTCATTTTATTCCTCTTATTTTCTAATGCAATAATAATTCCTTGCCTAGCTACTTTGAACCATCAGTGTAAAAAGCCTTGTATATCTGAGGTATCATAGCCTGCCCTTCAATACATTTGAATGGTGAAAGATCTTATAAGTGATTGGTTCAACTCCTTGTTTTACAAAGGAAGAAAGTAGGATTCTGAGAGTTTAGGGCTTATCCATTGCTGCATAGCCAGATGAAGGATGAACAGTCTTTAACTTAAGACATGGGCTACCTAAGTCATTCTGTAACTTTTGAAGGAAAGAAACAGTGATCACAGAAGCCACTTGATATCTAGAATTTACATGGGGCCCCAGTAGAGTACAAAGAAAATGAACAAGGAATTCACCTTAAAACATATTTTCTAAAGCAACAAAAATATAAGGGCCCTGATTCTCAGTCTTACCCAGTGCCTGGTAAAAGTTAGATGATTGGCCACAATGCTGCCTGTGCTCACTGATACTCATCAATCAACACAAGACCAGTGCTAAGAAATAAAGTTCTAAAGTTCTCTGGATTCTCTTATTCTTCATCCTGTCTATTTTCTCACAACGTGTCTGCTATCGTTTTGAGAATGATTATAATCAGAGTTAATCAACATTAACCACTAACAACCATTTAACTGCTATAAAATATAACCTGCATGGCTAAAAGTATGCCTGGGGTCATTGTGAAAAGATTGCAAATTAATAAATGAAGATTTTGTTTCTAGCCTAGCATGGCTACCCATGAGTTCTGAAGCAAACTTGCTCACTTGCTTTCACATCTCCAGTTTACATTCTTGTAGTGTAACGTGAGATATCTCCAACTTCCTTCCTAACTTGATTTGAAGCCCCTTAAAGTTTCAATATTGATACTGGGTACTACAAAAAAAAGTCCTAGAACCAAGTCTTAGCTGTAATGTATTACAAAGCTAAAGATAATTCACTGAATTAGAATGAGCAACACCCTGAGCATGGCCCTAAAGCTCTGACAGACTCTGACACGTGTGTGGGGGTCACTAGATACATGTCCAGGGGACGAGGGATTCCTTGACAATGAGCTTCCTTACGGATTCAGAGGAAAGGCAAAGGAGGTAACAAACTTGGATATTTTCGTTTTTAGGGTAACTGTCATTATTCCATAACCTCTAAACTAGAGTACGAGTTGGGAAATAGACAACTTCGGTATTTCAATTGAAACAACTAGGACTGTATTTAAGGTGATGCCAAGTAATAGTAAGTCTTTATATCCAATCATGAAATTATTTATAAGGGCAAATATTTTGACCAATAATTCTTCTTTCTCACTAGTATAGTTCCTGGGTGCTTAATTAGCTTTGCAGTGGCAAATTAGCATTTGCCAGTGGTTTCTAGCTGTCAGACAGGCTTATAACCTTTGCACATTTTCCCAAGCAGATGATGAATCTTTAGTGATCCGTCCAACTTGTCAACAGCTACAATGAATTCCTTATTCATTATAACATTACATGGAATGGAACATTCAGGATAAAATTAAGAAATTCATTTTTTCTCCTTATGCCAGTTGTAAATTAACATTTTCCAGTTAAAGAATTTAACCTTTCACGTAGCTTCCTGCCCCGTGAAATAGAGTTCTAGGACCATTGGAAGCAGAGCCTCCATTTTCTGTCTCCAAACCAGACACATGCACGCGCACATACACACACCACCACCACCACCACTAAAGCCCTTCTCCTAAATTAGTCTGCATATCTGAGCAATGTGAAGACCTTCAGGAATACACCCTTGTGTCCCACTCTGAAAGATAGGAATTTCATAGATCTGCAAATCAGCTCAGTGTTTGGAATTACTTTTAAAAAATTACTGGATGATCCAAATCTGCAACAAGTCTGAGAATTGAAATGTCTGCTTGTGCCTTTTTATAACTATATAAATACACATAATAATATATTATATATTATATTATATATCTGTAAAAATGACAGGGTGTAAGCAAAGGGCAGTGTTATATGCATTTTAATAATGAAATGTCCTAATTTTAAACATCTCAATACCAATCTGCACAATAGTCTATCCGCAATTTCATTGGTAATAAGAGAATGGATGTTAAAGCCCATTTAGACTAATTTCTTGAATATATTAAAATTTTGTCTTAAGGAGAACAGCACTTTAGAGAACATTTGTTTTATCTATTTGTTACGTGTGTACTTATTTCTCTTTCTCTCTTCCTCCCTCCCTCCTTCACCCTACCTCCCTTCCTCCCTCTCTTGTCTCTTTCTCTCCTCCCTCTCCCTGCCTACAGTAAGGGTTACACTGACGTTGTGAGAATCCCCGAAGGAGCCACTCACATAAAAGTCCGACAGTTTAAAGCCAAAGACGAGACCAGGTTCACCGCTTACTTGGCCCTGAAAAAGAAAAACGGTGAGTACCTCATCAATGGAAAGTACATGATCTCCACCTCAGAGACCATCATCGACCTCAACGGGACGGTGATGAACTACAGCGGCTGGAGCCACCGGGATGATTTCCTCCATGGCATGGGCTACGCAGCCACCAAGGAAATTCTCATCGTCCAGATTCTTGCCACGGACCCCACGAAGGCATTAGATGTCCGTTACAGCTTCTTTGTTCCCAAGAAGTCGACCCAAAAAGCGAACTCCGTCACTAACCACAGCAGCAATAAAGTGGGAGCAACCACTCAACAGCTGCAGTGGGTGACAGGTCCCTGGCTGGCCTGTTCGAGGACCTGTGACACTGGCTGGCACACCAGGACCGTGCAGTGCCAGGATGGAAGCCGGAAGTTAGCCAAGGGCTGTCTTCTAGCTCAGAGACCTTCGGCGTTTAAGCAGTGTTTGCTGAAGAAATGTTAGCCTGTGGTGATGCTCTTGTGCACAAAGAAAACAGGAGGGTCCAGCGTGGAGACACATGCGGTGAAGAGGAGGTGTACCCAACGCACAGAAAGTCATGCTTCCGTGTCATTGTCACCAGGAGTCGAATTATGGGCAGAATCTGCTCTCTGTGACCAAAAAGATGGACACAGCTTCATGTGATCATGGTGACCTTGGAATACAGAAAATCCTGGGGCCTACAAGAATGAGGGAGAAACACTGATGAATGTAGAATCGGGACATTGGAAGATGGCAGGACAGTCTCCCCCTTATTTGTCACCTACCTCTTACAGAATATCTTCAAGGCATCATTGTCATTTCCACCCATGACACACAATTGCTTGTTTTTACTGTTTGTAAATAACATCAGCCCTTGGTATGTCACTTTATAGCACTTGGTTCTATTAAAAAATATATATTTCTAAAAAAAAATTTGTTTGACCAAAGTAGGTCTGCAGCTATTTCAACTCCTAGTTTCCAGAAAGAGCTGTGGATGTTTTACTGGAAATTAAGAACTGGCTGATGGTTTAATAAGAGTATATGTTTGTGACAACAGGAGATCACATGTGTGTCCAAAAACATTTTGACAGCAAGCATCCTCTGAGAGATTCTGGAAAGAAATGGGATCTCAGGGTGTCTGCTTGCTTCAATGCATTTAAATACATTTAAATGCTATTTCCTTAGAACCTTTGACTGCCTGTATTTTTTTCAGGCAGTCGGCCAAATTAAGGTATAATTAAGATGTAGAAAGAATGTTTTTCCTCTGTGTTTGTGATACATTTTTAAAGTCTCAAACTTCGTTTGCTTATGTTGGCATTTCAAAGGAAAAGCAACACATCACTGTGTTTTCCATTTGTATTTTCATGACTTTCCTATGGCTCCCGTCTGATGTCTCATAATGTGCAATAGTCATACAGATTACAAAGCATAAAGTGCTGTGTCCCATCCAACACATTCAGCACTGGAATATTTCTGACCAGAAAACCTGTACAATCTGTTTGTTTTTGCTTGTTTGTTTGTTTCATGCAAGGGTTCTTAAAGACTGCTACTTGGTATTTCTTCTTCACTTGGTTTAATAGGAATATTAAAGATCACTTGGTAATAAGCCATGCCTAGAAGGGACCTTCATCATTAGTCAGATTAATGCTAAAAGAAATAGCTAACCTTAATAAGACTGTTTCCACACCACAGGCAATCATTTCTTAATTTCTTAAAGACACATATATTCTTACAGTATTAAATGTTTCCCAATTGGAAAGCATTTGGTCGTGTCAGAAAGTGTTTGAGTGACAAAATGTGATGGATTTCAGGAAGTTTGTTGTTTTTGCTTCCATAGCCTGTCTAGGTAGGTTATAAAATTGAATAGACATTGAAAATACCTTTTTAGACTGTAATTGCATAACCACCACCTTATAGCTCACAAAATGGAAGGTGTTTTATTCCAATGGGATTTCTTTTCCTTTGTGAAATACTGCAGCACCAATTGTTTTATATAAAATTTTATAATAATCAAACCAAATGTGCCTATTGTCAGAGATTTGAATATAGGGATTTTAGGCAATCATTGTTTAGTTCTATGGAAATTAGGAAGTTTATTTTTATTATATTTTGATATAAAAGACTTACATAGTTGATCATTCTATATCACATTCATTTCAGTGGTCCAAAAAATAGATATATCTGTTTTAATACTTTCTTAAAAATCAGTTTGAAAAACAGTTGTTTTACTAAATCAGTAGTCATGGTTTAGATTTTCATAGATTGATTTTGCTTAAGTTATAGTAGTTTTATATTAAAAAATTGTTATTTCTAGAAATTCAGGCTCTATAAGACCAGGAAGCTATATTTGATGGAAATCATTAAACATCAATAGGAGGGAACACAGCTAGACAAATTGGTCAGAAAATCAAAATTAAAAATCACACTGGCCATTTTATTGCACAAAGAGCATTGACAGAGAATTAAATGTTACTTTTTTCAATTTTGAAAATAATTTTTAAGCAACTCAAACATGACAAAATTTAGTTTTATCCTTTTTGGTTATTTTTCCAAGGGCATTAAAGATAATTCACAAGTAACCTCACAGTTGTATCCTACTCTGCTCCACTATACTGCATTTATAAACTTGTATGGGATTTATCAAATAATTCATTTTCCTCAAAATAGTGAAGTTTTTACACTTCTCATTGAAATTAATCCTAGACAGGCTAGAAAAAAAATAAACCACTATGCTGTGTTCTTAAGTTTTCTCTATTTTTTTGGTATGAGTTTCACTAGTTATCAGAGGATTATATGACTATACTTCTGAAAAAAAACAATAATGATTGGAAACTGAAATTCAGAGAAATGGAGTGCTTAGTTGATGCAAAGGATAAAGGGGGAAAATCAGAACTATTTCTAATTCAGTCAAACTTGGTTACAGAATGTCTTCCATTTATCCATTGTTGTATTTTGAGTGGGTTTTTTTATTTTGGATTTAGGATGCTGAAAGGGAGAGAAGGATGTCTGAAAATGCTTAGATTTGTAAGGGTTCAACCATACCTGCATAAACACTCCAGAATGTCCCATTAAGTACAAAGGATGCCTTGCAGGAAAATAACATTTATTTCTTGTAGAGTAGAAAAAACAAATTAAGTCATGCCTTGATGTTGAGAAGTACAAGAGCATTGGTATACTTTATTTAACAAATTTAACCTCTTTGCCTTCCTGTGGAAACAGTTTTATCCCATTATATTAAGAATTAAGGGATGAATCACAAAAGAAAAGTTGCAGCACTGAAAAAAAGTAATTTATTGTTTTTGCAACTGTGATAAATTTGTGTGATAAAATTATTTATTCTTATTTAACAAAAACGTGCAAAATTCTTCTATATTTAAAATGTTTTGCTATTGTCCTACTTTTTAATTTATGCTTCATGTTTGTGTATAAAGTGTACTTTGTGAGTTTACATGATATACAGCATTGGTTGCTTTGTATTTTTTTTCAGAAAGCTTTCTTTGTGAAACAGGTGTATGCATCTTTATTTAAGGAAATTCTAAGTTTAATTTTTGTGACTAGTGGTATTCATTACTTATAGCTACATTAATAGGTTATCTACATGTCATTAGCATTAATTTTTGATACAGATAAGAAAAATTCATACTCAATCAAAAGTGCAAGTTTTAGACTTGAAATCCATGGATAGCCTACAGACTTCCTAAAAAAGCTTCTAAAATACCATCAAAGAGACTTCCTAAAGAAGCTTCTAAAATACAGAGATCAGATTGCTGACACATATGTTTAATCTGACCACTTGGGACACTAAGGCAGGAGAATCACAAATTCAGGGCCAGCTTTGGCCAGATATCAAGATCCTGTGCTAAAAAATAGTAAGCTACAAGATTTCAAGTAATATACATTATTTGAAAGTAACATCTGAGTGATAGGATGACAATGAAATGACAAAAAACACCACTTAATACTTTAGAAGCACTTCCTATCAGATTCTAGTGTTTACAGGATTCTATCTATGAGTTCAAACCAATCAAATTTGTAATATTCAGAGTTAGTGCTTCTGTCAACTTGGAGTGTCCATTGATAATACTGCCTGGAGTGCTGGGAGCTGGGACAAGCCAGGCCATTTCCAACAATATCAACTTGCCTCTAAATGCAACAAGGCAAAGCACCACATAATTCACTGGCTCCAACAATAGATCTAATATTCCTACATTGATTCCTGCCTTGTTCATCAGGTTACTGGGACAGATAAAGTGGCAACAGCATCAGCTTCAGAAATCTAGAACTTGTTCTTTGTTATAGAATTCATTGTTCCTTAAAAAAATGATGAAATTTAGACATCACTGAATTTTAATAGTACTGTAGATTTGAGTATGAAATTTCATTAGTAGGATGGTGAATATCACTTGTATCTTTATAATTAAATCTAAGGCCATACAATTTATTTATATTTTTAAATGGTTCAGAGCAAAATTAAAAAAATAAATATGGTAGCCATGAGTACAGAAAAGGTCATTGAAGGCCATCTCAGAACCAAAGTCAAGGTGCTTTGTCATTTAAACACACAGAAACTTAAGTAAGATTCCTCTATTATTTTTCTTGCTTGTCAATAACTTGCAGTTTTAGATCATAGAAAATATCAAACTACTAGGTCAATATAACAGACTAGTTCACTGGAAAAATCTTCCTAATAACCCATTGTAAGTACATAATACAAAAATGGCTTGAATTTAATCATTATGACATGCATCAGTCCATAATGCATATTTGTGTTTTATTAAGTTAATGTATGGGAATATATTGAGAGAATGAAATCATGTACTAGTCAGCCAAGAGAACAGGAATACAGAGGGTGCTCAGATCAGTAAAGCATCATCTAATCTAGTAAATGCCTCGTGCCATGATATAATTCTAATATCAATATCGTGGTAAAAAATCAAAGACTGTGTTGTGTCTTGGAAGCTCTGAAAGAGTGAATCACAAACTATTAATATACTAGCAACTTAGGAAAAGTTTTTGTGTCTGGGCCTTGTGCCTTCGCTTACATCATTCAGACAAGAAGGTAAATAATGATCCATGTTATCCATCATCCTAAGCACTGCCACATCAACTGACTCAGTCTAACACTGTGAGGAAACTTATCCCAAGAGCATGGTTTTTATTTCTGGTTTTGATGTTTCATTGGCAGATTGTCATTGTTATTGAGGTGCTAACATCATTAGTGATAAACTGTTAAATATGCTGTTTCTGATTTACTTTTCTTTTTCAACATCATTTTACGTTTGAGGAAAGACATGTACCTTTCTTACACAGGCTAGACACAAATGAATACAGTTCAGGAAATAAGCACATCTAATTGCCATTCTGACTAATGGGAGTCCATGAGACACAATGGTATGTGCATCTGTGACTTCAAAGGTATCATCAAACTTGAACAGTCTCAGGCCAAGTTTGCTTTAGATAAGCCACAGTTCAGTATTTTCTAAGTCCCAGGCACTCCGTTCAAGTTTTTTATATACTTGGCTGGACTCATTTCAGCTTTGAAATACTTGGACCCATGGTGAATACTTATTCACTATATTATACAGTTTCTTTAACAACTCACAGTAACAATCAAAGAAACTATTACCTATACTGCAAGTATATTTAAACTAGTTCAAACTGTGCAACTTTGTAAGGCTAGATTGATTTGATTAAAAAACATAGTTTCTGATAGTATTTTTCATTACATACTCAGGTATGACAAGCATCGTTGGCTTATCTTGGCCTACATTTGACTCATGATCTAATAGTGAAAATTATGCACATGCATATACTTTGTAAATAAACATTGAAGACAATGCAGTTGATTAAAGAATATGTTCCATTTATGTAACGAGTGGCACAAAGACTTGATTTCTATATTAGAATAAGTAATACATAGATATAACTCAAATTTCTTGTATCTTAAAAAACGGTTTTATGACACAGAAAAGCAAAGAGGATTTGCATACTGAACATCAGACACAACATGTAAACTGCTTCTTTTTCTCAATTTCCTAAAAATGATGGCATAATTATGCAGTCGAAAAGTCAAAAACCTTGGAAAACTAGGAGAGGTTTTATTTAAAATGTCCTTTCAGCAAGGCCCAAACCTCAGTCTGTATTTAAAGCATCGCTGTGTCTCATGGCTTGCGTTCCAAAACAGCTCTCTTATTGAGGTAAGCCACTTGAGCTGAGTCCTTTGGGAATATTCTGTAATGTTTTTCATTGAGGAGCAATATTCTACTTTATAAAGCATTTTGCTGTGTGTAATTTTAAACTGTAAAATTAAATATTGGTTTTGTGGTTGCAGTGGACATAATAAATATAAATTGTAAACTAGGTTAAAGTATGTGCTCCTATATGTTTTAAAGTTGAAAGTTATTGTCTATTTTTTAAAATTGTCTCGAGACACTCATAGCTTAGTGTGCCAGGTTTTAAGGAAGCCTGAGGTGGTCTATAATTGCTTTCATTCACCATTTGCTTTGGACTAGACTTGTGTTTACTCTTACAGTACTCCAGAATCATTGCTTTCAAGTTCTTCTTGCCAGAATCACATACTGAAAGTCTCCCTATTTAAATATTAAACTAGAAATAGCAAGCAACATAGTTTGATTGACTTTTGTGTTTTACATTTTAAATTCTTTCACATAAAAAATTAGTTACAAAATAATGCAAGCATTAGATATTTTTAAAGGCTAAAAGTTACTTGCAAATTTATGTATTTTCTAATAAGATTATATATAATACTAAATTTCCTAAAGATTCATTCCTTTGAAACTTGACATAATTATTGAATGTATCAAAATATATTCTAGAATAGTGATATTTTAATATTTTATCTTCAGGAGAATGTAAACTTAAAAAAATAAGCTAATACCTTTTAAAGAGATGATATATCAAAGTATCATGTTCTGTGCCAGTAACACAGCTACTCAGGAGATGGCGGCATAAGAATCAGAAGTTGAAGTCCAGCTTACACAGAGTTAGCAAGGCCCTATCTCTAAAACAATATTTGAAAATAAAAGTACTTGGTACGTGGCTCACGTGATCAAACACTGGCTACCATGTGTACTCGGCTAGGCCACGTGACAATCGCTTCATAGACTTGCTACCATGAATATTTCTCTGTGATTTGTGAGGTTGGTCCTCACATCCCAATAGTACAGATGAAAGTCACAGTATGAAAACCAAAATGCTGGATGCTATTGTACTTCAGGTACTGAGAGGATCAATCATCGTCAATTTTCCACACTGAGAGCTTTACATCTTTATGGATTGTGAGACTGGGTGAAGAATTTCAGGGTAAATGAAGAACTGTAAGAAGTAGGGGAGAGGCCCTCATAAGTATAACCATAAGCAGACAAGGTCGGTCCTAAAATGATGAAAATAGCAAGACCACTGTGAAGAAAGCAATAGGGGTGGAATCTGGAGCTGCGAACATTACAAAGGATTGATTTTTGTAAGGAAAAGAGGACAGAGAATTTGACTTTTCAAAATGAATCAATTTCTGGTAAAGATGGAGACCCCCAAACTTTGTTATCTAACATTACAAACTCCTTTGTGACTAATAATGAGTAGACACAGGCAATGTCAAAGGCATAAAAATAGTGTGAGGAATAGCTTTTAAAGAATCAGCAAGATGAACAAAGGAAATAGTTAGAAATAGAACTCACATATTTGTGAGGTCAAAATCACCTTTAATGTATAGATTCTATTGTGTTCTCTTAACTATATGACTAAGTATTTTTTCTGTCCTATTAAACTCTATTTTTCCACCAAATAAGTGATTATTACAGTCCCTCATGTACAGATACAGATTTTGTGTGCTTGGATTTTGGTATCTGGAAGGGTCTTGAAGCCAATATGATTGCATGTGATTTTACATAAGCACAGGCAAGGTAGTACAGTAAAATCAAACCAGAGAATGCTAAACTATTGGAGACAATTACCAAGGATGATGGAAAAAGAGTAGATCCAAGATTGTTACATACACTTGCATAATATGTAATATGGACTTTTTTCTTCTAGGTGACTACAGTGTTTCACTTCTTTCTCTGTCATTTACCTTGAATTGGAAATACAGTCCTCATTTTGTTCTTTGTGATTAAAAACATCTAAGCCTTGGAAAACCCCCCAAAAGTACATTTTTATCACTTGTAAAGAGATTTATTCCAAAATGATGACAACTAATTGTAAGCTTTAAAAAAGGAGATGTTTCAGATATAAAAATGTTAACTTATTCATCTTCCAACTATTTCTTTTTTAATTTTAATTTTATTGTCAAGGTGATGTACAGAGGGGGTTACAGTTACATAAGTAAGTTGGTGAGTTCATTTCTTGTCTAACTTGTTACCCCTTCCATCATTTTCCCTCTCTTTCCCTCCCCCCCAACTCTTTCTAACACCTGCTAGACATTATAAAGAATTTTTCTCAATAGTTTCTTCACTTCCTATCTACTACCCCCAAGTCATTCAAGGTAGTTCTGTTGTTTCTTTTTTTTCTTGAATATTTTCAGGCAGTTACAAAATAGCACTTTAGACTTTAGAGTTGAAACAGGGATGAGGTTGAAAAGATATACAACCTTAATAGGTAAACTAAAGAAATCCCTGGAGGATTAGCCAGCAGTGGCGATGTGAGACAGAGTAATAGTCCATGGTAACACACAGTAGATGTTCCTTTCTTTAAGGTTCAGAGCTCCCCACACACACCCCACCCCGTGGAAACCACAAGATTTTTTTTTCCTTCCTGAACAGCAGTGAATATATCCTGATCTGTTTCCTGCTTCCTAATTACAAGGATGAAAACAGCAAGTGCATTATTTAGAAAATGTCCACAGCACCTTACTTAGGCTCTAATTCATGAAACATGGTCAAGTTCCAGTGCCTTCAAAATAACAGACTTCACTCTTACAGCCAACCAGCAGTATGCCATTGGTCCTACAGGGAGCCAGTCATGTGTTATGAATGAATGACTCTTAAGTTTATCAACACAAATGGTGAAAGAATTTACTGCAGAAAGTGGACTGAGATGATTAAAGGACAGTTTAGATGTTGCATTTATGACTTACTGAAAGACTGAAACTATTTCAATAGTTAGAGTGTTTTTCAATTAAATGATTGTTATTTCTACAACCAAATGGTTGTTACTTTTGTCTTATTTTCTTAAAAAGAATTCTCCTGTTGGGGTAATTTATCTTACCTAAACAGCACATCTTGTCAAGGACCTTAAATTTTGAGGGGCCAAAATATTTGTTTTTCAGAGCCTGGTAAATGCTGTGACTTGCTTAATAAGTGCACATGTACCCAAAAATATATCAGGCAATTTTGAGAGAATGCATATGTACTTAATGAAGCAAAATAAAGAAATTCAATATAACAGAAGCCCAAAGTATTTTATATGAAATCTTTGTAGAAAATAACATCTTGTAATTTTCATTTGAAAATAGAATGCATTTTTTCTGTTTCCTTTTGAAAATTATCTTTAAGCAGTTGTACGAAGCAGTCACCATGTAACATTTAACTACAGTATATGAATACAAAGCATCTTGATCAATGTCACCCCTTTCAACATCGAATATATTTTTACATATTGATAATTCATAATATGTATTTTTGAGTATTTTATTACATGATCTCCAGTAATATTAGAATAGAGTAGTAAATAAGACAAATTTCAGTATCCAATGCCCTAAAATCAAAGTGTTATATGTGTGTATGTGTGTGACAAGAAAACTATACTACAGTAGAATAACACCCATGGTATTAGCAAGATAAAACACCAGTCAGTGATATAATTGCCAAGAAAGCAACTAGATTCTTAAAGTGTATTAATACAATTTGGGATGGTGATGGTGATATCATTCAATTCTGTATTCACTAGATTTGTTACAGAAACTGCTAACACTTACTTGCATTCTATTTGCCTTTCTTCATACCATCAAGTGGCAGGAGAGATGCTCAGCAAGAGACTGAAGAGGAAAGAAGGATGACCAATAGACACATTAAGAAATGCTCAACCTCCTTAGCCATAAAAGAAATGCAAATCAAAACAACATTAAGAAACCACCTTACCCCAGTTAGAATGGCAAAAATCAAGAACTCTAATAACAACAGATGCTGGAGGGGATGTAGCCAGAAGGGAACCCTGCTGCATTGTTGGTGGGAGTGTAAACTTGTGCAACCATTTTTGAAAGTAGTATGGAGGTTCCTCAAAACACTCCACATAGAGCTCCCCTATGACCCAGCAATCCCACTTTCGGGCATTTACCCAAATGATCACAAACAAAACCATACTAAAGCTACCAGCATAACTATGTTCATTGCAGTATTATTTACCATAGAGATATGGAACCAACCCAGCTGCCCCTCAGTAGATGAATGGATCAAGAAAATGTGGTATAGATACACAATGGAATTATATGCCTCCATCAGAAAGAATGGCATTGCCCCATTTGTTAGGAACTGGAAAGACTTGGAAAAATGATATTAAGTGAAGTAAGCCAGGCCCAAAGAAACATAGGTCCCATGGTTTCCCTTATTTGCCAATAACTAGTATATGTCTGAGACAAGCAGAAACGGTCAGATAAGTTGATGTTAGGCAAAATGAACCCCAAGATAAGGACTCAAATGGTTTTTCTTTCTTACTATTGTTTCTAACATATTTATAAGATGATTTCTTTGTTGCTTTGTATGTCCCTCCCCAACAGTATAACCCCTGTTTTCACTGTATTTGATGTTGGTATAATTTGTGGAGGGGAAGGGAAAAACCAAATCGATTAAATAGAGATACAGGTGGATCCATTGCAACAATGAGATGTACAAGACATTATGTTGAAAAACGAACTTTACAACTTTGACCGGGGAGCAGAGGGAGAGATGAGAAGGGATGGTAAGGGGAAACAGGAAGAAGCAACAGCTTGTAAGAAATGTACTCATTACCTTGCTCATGTAATTGCAACCCCTCTGTACGTTCTTTTTGTTCAGAGCCTGAATCACTGCTATATGTTCTGTTTATTTCACACAAAAGCATAACAACCCAAGTCAACTTTTCATGGGAATTGGATTACTCTATTCTAGGGACTCCAATTTAATAATGATATAATCAGATTGAAGTTCCATTAATGGAAATATTAGAGGAATTTAACATTATGTCCTATTCTGCATGCTAAACAGAAGTTGGAAAAGAAAATATAAAAATAAAACTTTTTATATTTTTGAATAGTTTAAGGGATAATACTGGGAGGAAAAATTGTCATTACCATATAACCAGAAGAAAGGGATAGATTTAAAACTGATGAGTTCATTCAAGTAAAAGCCAACATAAAACAAAAGTTCCTGTAAT